AACTTTTCCTGGGACCCACACATATGTAACTATTTCCCCTGACCAAGAAAACATCCTCGCGCCAATCGTCTGGCTCCGGCCACCACCGCACTGACCCTGTGAGGGCCGGGGTTCTCCTAACTGCCCTTCTCTGTCTTTCTACTTGGCTCCGTTGGGTGTGATGGTTGACCGCTTACTCTTTGACACCCTCTTCGCCTGGGTTTTGTGACTCGGTTTTGTAATTTTTCAGCCTTCCCTACCCTCCCCTTTTCAGCTTCTTACCTTTAGCACTGGTATCCCTCAGGGCTCCATTCTTGGCTTCCTTCTTCTTAATTTTTTTCCTCCATGACCTCCTCTGTTCCGTGATTTCAGCAAATGTTTGTGATCACCAACTCTCTCTCTCCAGCCTCGGTCATTCTCCTATGCGTAACCGTTGTTTGGGAGATCCACCTGTCACCTAGAAATCTCCTGGGCTCCCTCAGCCTCATCAGACTGAGCTGACCATGTCTCCTTCCCTGGAATCTCCTTCAGCGCCTTATGAAATTGCTGCTACCTAACTCCCCCACCCCCCAAAAATTCCCTGCTCCTGTCTCCCTTGGAAAAAATGTTGATCTCAAGTTTAAATGTCCTCTGCCCTTTCTCCATCACTCCTTTTGATTTTTCCATTATCCCCTGCTTCACAACAAGCCACCTAAGTCTTTAAAATATCAACAAAATGTCATTTTTCCTGGTTCTGTGGGTTGACCAGGCAGTCCTTTTGCTTTGTGTGGGGTTGATGCTGGGACGGTTAGCAGGTCCACTGACCTTCTTCTGTGTGAGTGCTGGTTCCTGGCTGGGGTCTCAACCCAGGCCGTCGGGGGGGGGCCTGGTTCTTCTCCCTGTTGACCTCTCTGCATGGCTGCTGGGGTCTCCCAACAGCATGGGAAAGAGAGATCATCAGGAGAGGACCAGCTCTAATGTGCAAGCTCTTATCAGCCTGTTTACATTACACATTCTAACGTCCCACTGGCCAAAGCCAGCCTCCTGGAGTTGGGGTGGGATGCGCAGTGGGGTTCAGGGTGCCCCCAGAGGAACCGCCACCCGTCTTCTATGTATCCTTCCAATTCCTGGTCTAGCTCGGGCTGGTGTGGCTCAGTGGGTTGAGTACTGGCCTGCGAATCGAAGGGTTGCCGGGTGGATTCCTGGTCAGAGCTCATGCCTGGGTTGCGGGCCAGGTTCCCAGTTGAGGGCATGTGAGAGGCAACCGCACATCAATGTTTCTCTCCCTCTCCTCCCTCCTTCCTCCCTCCCTCCCTCTAAAAGCAAATAAATAAAATCTCTAAAAGAAAAAAATCTGGTGTACCAGGAGGACCTATTCCTGTTTCAAGCACTGTCCTATTTTTTTAAAAAAATACATTTCTTGATTTTTGGGTCAGTTATTTATGCTAACAATTCTTATAGCTAACTCTTGAACGAGAGACTTGAAACGCATCTGGGAAAGGGAATCGTCAAGGAAGCCGCTTGGTCTCCACTCCAGGCAGCTGTCTAATCCAGACCTTAACATTCGAGGTCTTTCTGTTCAAACTCAGGCGCAGTCTGAACATCGCATCTAACTTGGGTTTGACCAGAGCCCTTGTCTCGGTGCTCAGCCTTTTTGTGCAGGAACGTGAGCTTACCCCCCATTTTTTTGCCTGTCCTTATCATCATAGAACATTTCTTCTCTTGCCAGACACTGTAATGTTAAGCTCCCTCTTGCCTCCTTTGTATTCAAACATTACTATGTGAAATTGTTTGAATCGTATTCAAACAATTATTATGTCGAACAGAGCATTGCCTGAAGGATATTCATCAACACGCTGCGATCAGAGCAGGCAGATGAGCTCAAGCCGGCCTGTGAGAAGAGCCCGGGCGTGCCCCGTGAGGAAGGGCTCCGAGGTGGCGTGCAGTCTCCACGGGAGGGACTTCAGAGGTCGCTGGTGATGCCTGTCCTGGGCTTGAAGTGGAGGTGACGGTGTGCATGCCAGGATGGTATTTTCCACCCCTGCTCCCAGGTATTGTTAACATTTATCTCTGAACCAAGCTACAGCCTCAGAAAGATGCTCATTTGTGTGATATTCTTTTGACTTCCTGAGCGGACTGAGGGGTTCCTGGCAACTAGCCAGTCACTTGCATTGAGGCTGTACCAAGAACCACCTGTCCGGAATCAGATTCTATATTTATTGTAGGGAATGTTGCAGAGGACATACTATATGACACAGTGTCCCTTTTGAGAGGACCCAGGGGAGAATTCTTTGGAGCGTCTGACCTGTTTTTATCTTATGGGTGCAGTGAGCGTGACATGATCACTGATTGTGTTTCCCTTCTTGCTTTGGTTGCTAGGAGACCCAGGACAATGGTGCAGGCCTTCTGCAGCAACTGCACAAGACCTTTTGACAAATGTCTTATATTCTAACTTTACCTCTCCCTTTCATTTCCTTATCACTTTCTTGCAGACTTCCTCTTTCTCCCTCTTTCTACTTCCCTCCTTTATTTTTTTTAACCCCACCTTCCTTGCTTCCTCTCTTTTTTTTCCTCTTCGGTTACCATCCAGCGACCATGCCTGGCACCGTGCTAAGCGCTGGGTCCACAGCCATCACCGCCCAAAAATACCCGCGGCGGTAACTGCAGCCCCGGTCAGAGCACTCACGGTTCCAGGAGAGAAACCTGGTGCTTCATGCCACGTAGTGTTTAAAGTCGCTTATGACCCTCTGAGCGCACGGGTCACTCTGTGGTCCCTTCGCTGGACAGGACCCTAGTGATCTACCCACCAAGGCGTGCCGTCCTTCTCCTGGTCACTGTCTGGTCCTTTGTTCCGTCCCTGCACACCCCACAGATCGATCAGTTTGCTTGTCCCTTGCACATTTATCTAGAGCAGCGATTTTCAACCTTTGTCAATGCATGACACATAATAATTACTAAACTTCTAAGGCACACCAGAAAATATATTTTTTGCCAACCTGACCAAAAAATAGGTTTAACTTTGACACATTCACACTGGGCAGCTAGCAATCACCGAGTTGGCGGTTGCCTGGGGGTTTTTGTTTTGTTTTGTTTTGTTTTTTGTTTTAAATTCGACAACCTAAGGGAAAAGAGGCCAATGCCCCTGATGAAGTAATCAGGTATTGCATGTTTTAAAAATTCTTGTGGCCCACCGGGTGAAAATTGCTGATCTCGTGTCTGTGGCCTTTCAAAAGAGCACAGACACAACTTGCGTCGGAAGGATTACGACCTGTGCAGAGGGAAAGAGCGCGCGCCATGGGAGTGGGGGCTGAAGAGCGAAGCGGGCCGACTCCTGCGTGCGGCTGCGCTGCCGCTGGCATTCCGTCTTAGCGCCCATGTCCTTGCGGGCAGTTCCCTCAAGGTCTGCTCCCACTTCCTCTCCAGGGCAGGAAGAGGCATGGTGATGGGCTCCTCTGTTTAATTCCTGATTAGGTCAATTATTTTTGAACGGACAGGACAAAGAACCGTGTCTGTCTCTTCAGGGACTGGGCGGTGTGTGGACGTCCATGGTGCTATTTTTGCTTCCAGGAAGCTGGGAGTCAAATTTCACAGCTCTGTTAGCCTTCATGGTTTGCAAGATCGCGGCTCCTGAAAAAGCAAACAACTTTACTGTCTGCATTGCCTCCTATTTTAAGTCATATCCAGTCTTTTTTCCCAGCGAGTTATTAAGTTATTAAGCGAGGGCTTAATAACTGCTGATCTGCGTGGAGCAGTTCACCAGAGAGACCATGGCCCACGGGGCGCGGAATGAGTCAAGGGGCCGAATCTGCAGTGCGTCCTTCTGCCATTTCTGGGGGCCAAAACCTGGTGCTTCGCGGCTGGTTGGCTGTGGCATCGGGGGTATAGTCACATAGCAAAAATCCTGAATTCAAATTCACCCTCTCTCTTCTCTGCCCTTTGACCTCAGGCAAGTCCTCCCCAACCAGCCCTGGGCCTCAAGGTCGGAGAGTGGGCTTGAGAGAGGCTGGCTGACTCTGGAGCAGGTCACAGCCCCTTTTCGGCTGATTTTACTCGTGGTCCCTTCAGCTCATGGCAGTTGTTAAGGACGCTGGGTACGTGTGGTGTCTCCCTCGGTTGTTTGAGCAGTTTGTTCTCTGTCTTCAGCTCACTTCCTGTGTCTTTCCCAACCGGGAGACCGATCCAGGCTCAGACCCATGGGGCCTTCTGAGACCTGCTCCCCAACACGCTCAAGCAGCCAGAACAATACTGGCACTTTTTTCTCTTGATAATCAGTAGGCATCGGTCTGATCACATTCTGTGTGCGGAGCCTTGCCTTGCAGTCCTTGAACCCTGTAGGGCCTGGGGGGAAGGTTACCTGGGATAGACCTGAAGGGCACCGGGAGCTCTTAGGTCACGGCGTTCCTCCCAGTGCCCGTTTCAATCCAGAGAATGGAAATCGCAGGTGACAATACAGTACACGTGCAGGGTAAGCACTGTGACCCAGCGGGTCCACAGTCGCGTTGACCTGGGTCATCCCCATTTCATAGAGAAAGAAAAGACAGAGGCTTTAAGTAACTGGACCAAGATCAACAGCTGGCGACCTTGGGTTTAAATGGGGAATGGGACTCATTCAGGAGCTGTGCTTGCTGGCCCCTGTTGGCTGCTCCGCGGACCGGTTCCTAGGCTTCGGGGTCATCTGTCCTTTCCCTACTCTGGGGGAAGATTGGCCACATGGATGCTCTCCAGGGCCCTTCCGGCCACACCCCGCCCCCACCCCCGGGCCTGGCTCCACCCCCACCCTGGCCGGCACCTCAGCAGGGAGCCTCCCCAGGTTGTCCCCGACAAGCTACGGGCTGGGCAGCCGCCTTCCCGCAGAGAGCGCGCGGCTGGGGCACCTGTCCCCAAGCAGGGGCTGTCGCTGCTGCTGTCGCCGCCCCTCAGCGCGCCCCGAGCTCGCTCTGAGCCCTGGCGTCCCTGGGCTGGAGAACGGCGAGAGCGCCACCCCGGTCTGCAGGGCGGCCCTGCGCACCCGGCGGCTGCGGGCACTGCGACCGCGCGTGGGGCGCGCTGGCCGGTTGCTCAGAGGATTCGGCCGCGGGGCACGGGCGCTGCCGGAAGCAGGGGCGGGGTGCGCCCGCACGGGATGCTGTGAAGGGCGAGCGGGTCGGCAGCGATGAGCGCCTCTGCGGCCACCGGGGTCTTCGTGCTGTCCCTCTCGGCCATCCCGGTCACCTATGTCTTCAACCACCTGGCCGCCCAGCAGCAGTGAGTAGGCGCACGGGACTGGGGGCGGGGTGGGGGAGGGCAGCGCCGAGGGACACCAGGAGCCTCGGCAACTTTTCAGATGGGGCTGAGCTGTCACCGTCACCGAAGAGCCCTGGGTCGCTGGCCTCCAGGGAGCAGTGCCCGGCCAGGGACGGGAGGGGAGACGCCCCAGGGATGGCACCAGCGGGGGTATTCGCTCAGGCTGGCACACTTGCCATTCAGCGCAATTCTGGGCCAAATGCTGGGTACCTGCTGGGTGCCAGGGCTGTGCCAGGTACCCAGGTTACAGAGGTCTGTAAGGCGATGCCCCTGCCCTTGAGGCGCGCAGGGGCAAGGCTGGGGGCAGTTAGCCACTCACAGCTCTGAGCGGGGCGTGTTGGTGTGCTCCTGCCTTGTTTGGAGTTTTGCAGGAGTGTTGCCATCTATGGACACACACATACTTATCATTTCTTATTAATTTTAGAAACTGTTCAGAATGGCCAGCAGAAATAGCCCCGAACGAGGGGCGAAGACCTGGGTTCTGGGCTTTGGCCCTGACGGTGAGGCCTGGCCTCAGTCTGCTGGTCTGTCCAATGAATGGCCTGTGCTTGCATCCTGTGTCGGGGGCCACGCAGCTGGGTGGGATGGGAGCAGGGAGGGCGGGAGGCTGGGCTGCGCCAGCCTGCTGAGGAAGTGGGTGGGGCTGAAGGTGGCTGCAGGCACGGGCTTGGTTCAGAGCCCTGCCCCTTAGTCCTCAGTGAGGGGTCCCTGCCTAAGGGACCCTGCACCAGCAGCCACAGGCCTGCCGGGCTTGTGGGCAGGGTGCCGGGCTTCCTGTTCCTCGCTGTCTGCAGGAGGAGGAAGTAACCTGCTCTGTTATCCGCAGCAGCTGGTGCTAAGGAAATTGCATCAGACTGGAGGCAGCAAATCCCCCCCAGGCCTTCAGGCTGTGGAGAAGTGTCTGCCCACGGGGCTGCGACTTCCTCCTCTATTGCTACTAGGGCTACCGCTCACTCGCTGCCTCCTTTATCCAGATGGCAGCCACCGATCATGTGTGATCGCTGGGCACGGCCAGTGACTGCCCTTGGTCTGACCCAGCCTCAGGCACACCTCCTGGAACACACACCTCTGGGCAGGGAATGTCACATGCCTGTGGCTGGAGTGCAGGGGGGACCCTTCCCTCCTCAAATGGGGTTTTGAGCAATTCAACAAACATTTATTGAGTACCTACAGTATGCTTGGCACTGCTCTATCTGTTGGAGATGTAGCTGTGAACAAGTCAGAGAAGACGGGGGAGGCACACGTTCAGACAGACATCGACAAATAAAATGGGGCAACACGGCAGGGTGACTGGGAAGGGAACTGGTAGTCAGGAGAGGCTTCTTGGAGGAGGTGACCCTTCAGCTGCAGAAGGTGGCCACAGGAACATCTGGGGACAGAGCCGTCCAGGCAGGGGAGCCAGGAGCGGTGTAGGGACAGGGGCGTGGCTGGTGGCAGGGATGTTTTAAACGGAGGAGCCCAGGTTCCTGAGGGATTGCATGACAAGGAGAGGGTTTCAGGATGACCCTGAGGTTTTGCTTTCAGCCACTGGGAGGAGAGTGACGTCATTTAGTGAGTACATGCATCACGGAGCACACGGCTGAACCCTGCGGTTGTGAATAGGTTCCATCCATTCTTCCCCTCCTCCTGCTGTTCGAATCCCAGCTGCCTTGGACCTATCCCTCTTGTTTCTCCGCTCACTCCCTTCCACTGTCCCCTTCCCCACAACTCCCTCCTCCCAGCCTCCCCGGCTCTGGCCCTCTCTGAACCGGACCACGGCAGACCCTCCCTCGGGGGCTCCCCTGCCCCAGTGCGCCGGGCCTCACACTAGAGCCTCTGCCACGCCAGGGTGTCCTGTGCCCCTTGGACCCTCCTTCCCCACCCTGCCTCCTTTCCATTGCACACGCTGGTCTCCCTTCCTCCCTGTCCCTGCCTGTGGGAGCCACACTTGGACTTGATGACCCAGAGTAAAATGCCACCTCTTCCTTTTCCAGACCCGCCCTCCAAGCAGATGGCATCCCTGCCTCCTTCAGCACCACCCCCGCCCCCCACATTGTGCCTCTCCCACAAGTGTGACTTCCTTGGCCAGGACTTTCCTCCGCAGCCACGGCTCACCTTTGTAGCGTCCTGCTTGGCACAAGGCCTTGTGCACAGTAGGCACTCAGTTAAGTTGAAATTAGTTGAAGTTAATTCCTTCCCATCAGACCTTTCACAAAAGCCTGAAGAACAGGAAAAACAGAGGTTGAGGAGCCAGGAAAGGGTCAGGATCTGTCTCTCTCTCTCTCTCTCTCTCTCTCTCTCTCTCTCTCTCACCCACACACGTCCCCTCTCAGGTGTCTCCGTTCGCACAAGGGCATGAGCAGCCTCTGCTCACCCCGCCGCCCACTCCAAGACGGACTGCTGCCCCCGTTTCTCTCCCATCTCTGCCCCTTCCCCTAGAGGGGAGAGCGTGGCAGGACACTGTGGCCCGGTGCCCCTGCGCTCCGTGCTCCACGTGCCCGCTCTGTGACGCTGCCGCTGTCAGCTGACCTCCTCAGGGGAGCAGGGGCGGCAGGGACGGCGGCTGTCCCTGGCCACCGCCTGCCTCAGGCTGGGGTTAATACGCCTGTCAGCTCAGACTGCACGCCTGGCCATTGCCCTCTTCACGGGCGCTTCGGCGCGGCGCCACGTCCCGCCCTGCATCAGCGGCAGTGCCATCCGCGCCTCCGCTGTCTCACTCCGACCGGGGGGGCCCCCGAGCAGCCACTGAGGTGCGCCACGAGGAACTTGCTGCTTCAGTCCCCTACCTGGACTCCGCGGTCACGCTTGTTCTTATCATAAAATTGTCGTCCTTACACCCGTCCGTCTACCATCCTCCACCCGCCATCCATCGTCCATCCATCCATCCGTCTGTCCACCCTCCCACCGTGCATCTGTCCATGTCTCCTTCCTCATTTCCTGCTCCCCTCCTTTCCTTCTTCATCCATCAATTTTTTACGCCCTAACAGAGGTCCCAGGCAGACTTCCAGCACCACGCATCCAGGTCCCTTGAAAAGATGTGTACGTTCCCAAGCCCCGCTCCTGCAAGGCTAGGGTGCAGCCGACACCCAGGCCCGCTCCCCTAGTCTCTGCGTGCTGGGGAGATGGCGTTCCTGCACCTGGAGCCCGTCTCCTTGCGGCCCATTAGCGGCAGGCTGGATGGGTCATTTCCCAGCGGTGACATTGGGGACAGAGCTCTGACTGGTGCCTGGCCCGCATCCCAGCTGGAGGTGCATGGAATGACTTCAGCATGAGTCTGTCCCTCAGTTATAAGTAGGGGTCGGTGGGCTACGGAACCTGTGGCCAAGAAGGGAACTTTCTAGAAGCCCAGGGACATTGAGTGAAGGTTATCCAAGGTGCTCATGTTGAGCTGCGGGGGTGTGGAGGCGTCTCGGCTGAGGCGGTGCTTTGGCTGCTCCCAGGGCTGTTGAGGAGGCTCTGGTGTGTGCAGCGGGCCGTCCGAGGGGCCAGGCTGTGCTTCACCTAGAACTGGTGCCCGCTGGTGCTAGAGGCGTGGGGCGGGAGGGCGGGGGGAGAGTCCCTCTGCGGGACCAGAGGTGATGCCCAGGGCGGGCGGGCGAGCTCAGAGCCCACTGAGATCGGTCCCCCACGCAGACAGGGACTGCTCCTGCTCATCCGCAGTGCCTGGCACGTGGGGGTGCAGAATGTGTTTTCCTCAATGTGTTTTCAAATTAACTAACAGACAGACTAAAATGAGTGCCATGGTGTTCCTAAGGTCGCGGAGGTAGGCAGTGGCAGAGTAGTGACGAGCATCCAGACCTCTCGGCGGCCACGTCCACCAAGCGCCGTGGCCACTGCTGCCCGCGGAGGTGGGGCGGTGGCCCCTGGTCTGCTTGGCGCTCCGCCTCCTCCAGGGAGCGGGCCCGGGGCGCTGCCCAGCCTGGCCTCGCCTCGGCTTTCTGGGTGTGGGTGGCTGCCGTCATTCCAGCCTCAGGCGTGGCCCGGCCTCTTCCTTCCTTGGCCCAGCCTCGTCCCCTGGTCCGTTTGATGTCCCACACGGCCTCTGGCTCTTCTTCCTCGCCCCCCTGGAAGGCGCGCGTGGCTGTGACGCCAGCCTGTTTCCTGGAGCTCTGGCTGGTGCTGAGGGAGGCGGCCCGTCAGCCACAGCGCAGCAGCGGCGGGAGGAGCAGAAGCAGCAGCCGCTCACACACAGCATCCGTTCGGGGGGCTGGCTGGCAAGAGAGTGAGGACCTGGTGGCTCTGGTCCCTAAAAGTCACAGCGGGCCGCCCAGAGGGGCCGAAGCGCTGTACATGAATGTCACTGGCTCCCCAGTGCTGGGGCTGCGGGCAGACGCAGAGCTGGCAGTGACTGTCTCCAACCACCAGGAAATTCCCGGCACCAATGTGTTTGTTTCGAGAAGTGACCACCTCCCTCTTCTGGTCCTTGCAGCTTCTGGACAATTGTCGGGGTTGCTGCCCTCATCCTGCTCCTGGTAGCCCTGTTGGCTCGATTCCTCGTCAAAAGAAAGCCACCCCGGGACCCGTTGTTCTATGGTACGTCTGTCCCCACAGCAGGGAAATGGTTGTGCCCCCTGAATAGCTCCGCAGGACAGCCTCCCTTTGCCCCCGTGGCTGTGGGTACACCGAGCCGTGGGCAGAGTGGCAGGAAGCGGAGGAGCACTCCAGGACGACAGGGCCCTCTCCTCCAAGCCCCTGCCTGTCCCGGGCTGTGGGCCCCGCCCTCTCCCAGCGGGAAGCCCAAGGAGCCGGGACACAGTCCAGGTCGGAGGTCAGAGTGCGCTGGGGACAGTGGGTGAGGCGCAGTGCGGTGCAGGCAAGCGCGCCAGGCACACGGTGAGCTGGCCTGCTTGGGAATCACTGAGATGCGCGGACTCTTCTGAGTCGTCGTTTTAAACCCACCTGGTGGCCACCTCTCTGCTTTGGCCACTGCTTCCAGGTGTTGTCCAGGTGGGGCGCAGGTGTGGCCCTGGGTAGCCCCTCATAGGGAAGGAGTTAGTGGGTGAGTTTGTCACTCTTACCCCCGGTGGGTGTCCCTTCGCTGGGAGCCCCGGGCAGTGAGATCAGAGCCGCAACATGGGCAGAGACCCTGCGGTGTGTGCCGGAGGTACGTCCTGTTAGTCCATGTTGACGGTGCCCATGGGGTCTTCTGGAGGACAATAAAAACAACCCGGCGCTGCCGGCCAATGCCAGCTCTTCGCCACCGTCTCCCAGCTGCTCGCTGTAAACCGCTGCCCTCTGCCCTCAGTGTACGCAGTGTTCGGCTTTACCAGCGTGGTGAACCTCATCACAGGACTGGAGCAGGACGGCGTCATTGACGGCTTCATGGCACACTACCTGCGAGAGGTAGGCTCCGTTCCGCCGGGAAGCCTTGCGCCCCAGGGCCGGCCGCCTGAGCCACTTGGCTCGAGACCGACTCCTTTCGCTTGGTGTAAGCAGGCACGGTACACGGCATGTCATTTACGGCCGTGGACAGAGGCCGTTTCTTCACTCGGAAAGTGGGGATGAGGTCGTGGGATGCGACCCTCTCCCATCTCACCCCAACCCACTAATTCCTGCTTGTGTTTAACATAAGTGAGGTACTTCAAATGAATTGAGGATTTGTGTAATGTTATTAAAACATGACTACATCTGAAAGCCCAAGTTAGTCTCACGCCTGGAAAGTACCAGACGCTGAGGCATTTAATGAAGACGTTTGATTGCGAGGACCCCTGCTCCCCACCGCAGCGTTACAGCGCTTCCTGGGACCTGAGAGTTGGTCCCATTTTCCTCTTTTATGGTGCGATGGAGCCAGCCGTAGAGAGGTGCGGCAGCTCACTCAGGGTCGCACAGGACGTAAGGAGCGGAGCCGAGAGTCTTCATGTTTCAGATCACGGGCAGCTTTGCATGCAAGTGAAGGGAGTTTGGATTTTACCTTGTGGATGGAAGGAGGTTTGAAGTCAGGGGACAAAGAGTCAGCCTGGAAGGAAGGGTTTCAAGAGAAGCATCAGAGCCTTGCGCTGGGACCCGTCAGGAACCGAGATGTTGGCGGCTGCCGGGTCAGGTGGCATTTTCGCCTTCCCACCAGCTCCGCACCCTTGCAGGGTGGGGAAGGGTTTCACCGTCGCAGCGGGCTAACGCCAGTGAGCTCCGTGTGGTTTTGCCTGCGATGCAGGTCTGGTGTTCTGCGCTGGTGTCTGAACCCGGCGTAAAGCGGACTTCCTTTTACTGCTCCCCTTAGGGCGAACCGTACCTGAACACGGCCTACGGGCACATGATCTGCTACTGGGACGGCTCTGCTCATTATCTCATGTATCTGGTGATGGTGGCGGCCATAGCCTGGGAGTAAGTCACTTCGCCTGGTATGTGTGTGCCTTTGCCACCTTAGCAACCGGTACGCGGGTAGGTAAGGAAAACGTACACAGAGGCAAACACGCCAACAGACATCCGCAGATGGGAAGGCCGGAGCTGGGCGGAGACAGCCCGGTGCGGCTCTGTGTGCTCCCCTGCCTTTGGAACGCGTCCCTCGGGATTACCCCCGCCATGCCGACAGCTCAGGGGGACCCCTTAGCTTTCCAGTTACGCTCTCTCTGGAGAGCAGTCTTTCCAGGAATTTTCGCCCAGCACATTTTTATCCAAAGCTGCTCTTCCCCCACTTCGGATGTAGCCCCGACGCTTAGGGGCCTGGCCTTTTGTTCCGTCTCAGGGCAGTTGGCACCGGCTTCTCTGGGAATGTATCTATGTGGGGTTCAAAGGAAGCAGGGCAGGGTCTTAGAAGACATGTCCTGCGCTGGTCTGTGTCGCGGCGCACACGCGTGGGTTCTCTGGAGACCCCCACCCCGCAGCACGCTCTGCGCGGCCCTGGTCCTGGCAGTGAGCCGTGCTCTCTGGCTGAACTGGCGATGTCCCTGCCCGTGAACTGGCACGCCCGCAGCTTCTTTCTGGGGGTCTTGGAGCCAGGGCAGCTCAAGTCCGGCTATCTTCCCAGACCCCTCCTTGGCTGCTGGTTAGAGAAAGCCATGCACGCTAGTCTTGCCCCCCCACAAGGCTGACCTTCCCTGTGACCAAATGCATGTCCTGCGCCCCCGCCCCCTCCAGGCGTGAACTCCAGGACGGCTGCAGCCCAGTTCTGGACTTTTCTAGGGACCCGTCTCTCTCTTCACAAATGTTCCCAGGCTCTAGGCCACACGTCAGGTGCTTCTGAGGATGCCCAGGCCCTGCCTGGATGCTCGCAGGGGTGGGTCTGAGTTTCTGCAGCTCTGGGAATACCCACGGGGAAAGAAGGTCCTCGCCCGTCCTCCTGCAGACCGCCCGTCACTGTGACTGGGCCTCTGGGGATCCACGGGTTTGGCGTGGGGAGGAGGGCAGGGCTGGAAGCACCCAGTTTGCTCCACTCTGTTGCAGGCTGAGACTCTCAATGTCTCAGCGTCTCAGAGTCCCTTATGGAGGTGGGTAATGGGGACATTGGTTGAAAGAGCTTTTTGTCAGCGGTGCCGAATTAAGATCAGGGGTATGTGTCACTTAGTGTCTTCACCTCCGGGGCTTTGGCCAAAACTCTGAGACATCAGGGGACGTCCACTTAGCATCCCATGACGCATCCTTACAATGGTTTAAGGTGTGGATCCAGTTTCCCTTCTTTGGTTGAGCCTTCCTTTTTGTTTCATGCGTGAGAGCGCAAGGCAGGACTCCTTTCAGAGTGACGAGCGTGTTGTAGTTAACAGGCATAATTCCTGTACAAAAGGACGCAAAGAGGGTTCCGTGGTGTATCACAGGTGACAATGGTGGCCGGTCGCCCGGGTTCCTTCTGTTTGCTTTATTGCTCTCTAGTCACCTTCGCTTCACGTACTTTACTAGTTAGAATACAGATACTATTGTGGGTCGTCTTTTGCAAATAACATTCTAAGCCAAGATTTTTTCCTTCCAGGGAAAGCTATAGAACCATTGGCCTATACTGGGTCGGGTCTATTATGATGAGCATGGTTGTTTTTGTGCCAGGAAACATTGTGGGTAAGAAACTTCATCTTAAAATTCTCTTTCCTTTTCTGAAACAATGGGGATTGTTTTTAAATATAGAAGCTATTTTGGTTGTAATAGACCCAAGGAGCTGTTTTGCAGAATTATTTCTCTTTTCCTCCTTGGAATGGTTTTGACCAGTTTTTAGAAGTGTGCGTTGAACAACTAGCCAATTTAATACCTGGTTCCTGACTTTTAGAGGGATCTGAACAGGCTAAGTACTGCGTTTGAGGCTACATTCAGTGTGCAAGTACTTCTTACAACTGTGGTAATATACCAGGTGGGTCAAAAGTAGGCTTACTGTAGTGAGTACATGGAAGAGTTTATTCTTGTGTTATTCTATACGAACATCCAGAGACCCACTGTTGTCCCCTCTCGGTCAATAACTCCGGCACACTATGGGAACTCAATAAATATACTTGGAAATTAAAGACTCTTTAAAACTAATGTAAATGAGGTTATTCATGCACGCGAGAAACCAAGATATTATAGTAAATATGCTTTCAAAGCACTATAGATAGGACATGCCTATGAAACACCTAACAGAGTTTTGAGTTGATCTTTTTGTCGTTGTTAAAAATGGTCTTGTCCATAGCGACATTTAGATGACTTGAGATGGTATCCTGAATGTTACTTGTGTTCGTATCTGCTTTTGGTAAACTGACTCTCCTTCTCTCTTTAAAAAGGGAAGTACGGAACGCGCATTTGCCCTGCCTTCTTCTTGAGCATACCATACACTTGTCTTCCTCTCTGGGCTGGTTTCAGAATCTATCATCAGCCATCAGAAAATTACCACTATCCCGCAAAGGTGATTTTCATTAAGTTAACTGTAACCTGTCTTCACGCTCCTGGGGGTCACTCACAGCCACTGGCTCACGGACAGGAGCGTTCAGGTCGCCAGCGAGCGGGGAGCTGTGTCGCTTCTGCAGTGTGGGTTCTGGGGGCCGAGGCCGTCTGTCTGAATACACCTGCTCCCGGTGCCAGCGGCCACCTCGGCTCTTCCCCTCACATTGCGCATGTGTGCCGATGTGCGCTTTGTCTGGGGCCTGGGGCTGGAGCGCCTGGGCGCCCCTTTCTGAGGTGCCTGTGCATTTACTGCCCCGAGGGGAGGCAGGAGGGATGCTGCGTGCAAGGCAGCACACGCAGCCATAGGGCCTGATTACCCAGAGACCCTGGCCCGTGGGAACCTGCGCAGGACGCCTCAGAGACAACTCCCTTCTGTTCGCAGCCACGCGGTCAAGGTCAAACAGTAAGGTCTTTTCTAAGCCAGTGACATCTTCCTAAGTTTCTCTTCCTTTTATAGGTATTAGACCCTTGAGCAAAACTGACATATGAAAACAGGCATTACTAGAGATAATCAGAACATGACTGTTCATTTTGCAAAAAGATTTACAACAGGGCCCTGCCCAGGTAGCTCAGTTGGTTAGAACGTCATCCCAATACGCGAAGGTTTCGGGATTGATCCCCGCCGGTCAGGGCGCACACAAGCATCGACCAACGAACGCGTCAGCGAGTGCAGCAGTGCCCGCCCCCCACAGCCCCTCGCTTTCTCTCTCTCCCCGCTCCCTTCCTCTCTCTCCCCCCTCCCTTCCTCTCTCTAAAAAAATAAATAAATAAAAAGACTTTTAAAATGTTCAAACACAGAGATGGCCAGGGAGAAAGGGACATTGTCATGCAGTGCTGACAGGAACGGAAATTCAGAATCCCTCTGCAAAGCCATCTGGCCACATTCTCAGCCTAACAAACTGAACCCTGTAACCCAGTAATTCCGTGTCTAGGGCCCTTTCCTAAGAAAATCATGGGAGAGATGCCATCCGAGATTTAGGCGCAAAGTTGCCTGTCACCACCTAAACTGTAACAGTGAAAATGCCTCCATGTCCAGCAATGGGAGAATAGCTAAAATATGGTGCTTCCATATGATATTAAGTTTTAGAGGAGTTTTTACTAATGTGGGAAAGTAGGTAGATGTTGAGTGTCAAAAGAAAACAAAATTGTTTTTATGTTAAGTCCCCATTTCGTGGAAAATAAAACTGCTAGTAGTAGGGTGGTGGGTTCACGGTTTATTTTTTAAGTGAGTGTGCCTTACGTGTATAAGCACAAAAATGCTATTTCAAGAAAAAATACAGACTCAGAGCCTGAAGGGCCCTTCAAGACCACGTGGCCCAGTCTGCTCATTTGGCAGACGAGGACATTGAAACTTGGAGGGGAAGATGATGTTCCCAAAGTTATGTGGCTGGCGGTTTACGATGCGCAGCGCGTGCCTTCAGAAGTCCCTCACCTCTCGCCACGGGGCTTCTGTTCCAAGCGGACCCCAGCGTCTCTGGCACTGCGGGCCTGCTCGTTAGTGACGGACTCTGTTTTAGGTCGTTCAGGAAGTCCAAGCGAAGGACCTGCTGAGAAGACCATTGGATTTCATGTTGGCCGTCTGTCTCCTCCTGGCAACTGGATTTAGCCTGTTTAGAGGCCTGGTAAGCATAGCAGATCGCAGGCACATACAGCAGGCTAACGGCCATTCCTCCCCTTCAGAGGCATCATGCAGGGCTGAGCCTGCTGCCAGCCGCTCTCCTACCTGGGTGAGCACCAGACGTCCCCTTGTCAATGGGTGGGACTGGCTGCTTCTTGCCACCTCCTTCCGGTCCTTAGATCAAGTTTGACCCAGAAGCATCTTCCCTCCCTTATTTTGGGGCACCTGAAGAATTAGCCATTAGATTCTCCTTCTTTTGGTGCCTTGATGTGTCTGATTTAAATATCTTGGGAAAGGGTGCTAAGTTAAGACTGCAGCAAAACCACGGCCCGGGCTTTCACGTGTTCTCAGAAGCAGGGCAGCGGGACTGGGGAAGGGCAACCAGGGCAAGGAGTTAGGATCCTGGCCACGCAAATAGCTCTGTGGCCTTGGAAAAATCGCCCAACTTCTTTGACCCTCAGTTTCTTCTTCTATAAAAAGCTAGTTCATAGTATCATTTTGAAGATTAAATACTGAACATCAGACACATGGCGAGGGCCTAATACATTGTAGGTGCTCGATAAACGACCGATATTGTTGGCTTTGAGCAAAGATCCTTCACAACGCCCCAGTTTCACCATCTATTCTTGGTGAGAACCACCTTGAGCAGCCAGAATTGTACGGTACATTACGTTCGGCTTCAACGGCAGTTACTCACGGTTCCCAGGCTGCTGGCGTTGCCTAGCAGGTGGGGTGCGGAGCGGCAAGTGTAAACTGATGCAGTGCGTTCATGGCTTTGGGGTCAGCTGGCTGGGTTCAGGGTGAGGTCTCAGCTGCCTTGAGCTGTGTGGTCGGAAGCTGGCTAATAGAAGAGGCTCAGGGAAGGGAAGTAAAGCAGGAAGCTGGGCCATGGGCTTTACTCAGACCAGAGCAGGGAAGCCCTTCTTCGGGTAGTTTGCTGTGGTGCCCGCTTAAAAGGAGAGCAACAAAAACGAGCCCCACCCAGAGAGGCCCGCACAGCTGTAGCCACTGCCCTGGGCACCGGAGGACGCGCGCCTGTGGGTGTGTGCACGCTCGGTGGGTGGGGCCCCACTTACCAGCTCTGCCCCTGGCTCGTGTTCACGTGTGTCATCTAGGTGGGACACCTATGTCCAAGGACATGATGACGCCCGAGGGAGGTGACCTGGTAATGTGCTAGCGGGGCACTTTGTCTCCTCTGGGGCCTTGAGTCTGCTGTGCTGTGACCAAACCTGCGCTCCAAGTGGACACAGGAGGTGGCTTCAGAAGACAGGGCCCTGCTTTCAAATCCTTGTCCTTTACTGCCCCCTAAGGCCACACACTCTGTGAGGCACCGGACAGAGGACGCTATCTTTCAATCTTGGGAAAGCACACCGGGCTGCACTGGGTCCAGAAGGGTACTCGTCCCCCTGCTGGGAGCGGCTGGCCAGCTCCTCCCCAGAGAAGGGGAGCGGCTGGCCGGAGGCGGCCGCGCTCTGCTGGCGCAACCTGGGCACTTAACTTGCGTGCTCGTCAGGTGCCCGGAAGCACGGCGGCAGTGCGGTCCCCAGCTACCCCTGCTTCATCTCCTCACAGTGAATCTGCAACGCACTCCCCCTCCTCTTTTACTGAGGAGCTTCTACTGTACAATAGTTTCTGTCACATGGTAAAGCCGCCTGGGACTAAACCTGGCACCGTGAGCCTCATCAGCAAACAGCGGAACCAGCTGTGACCGCATCTCGGTAATGAAATGATTTCTATTCCCAGATTGCGCTGGATTGCCCAGCGGAGGTCTGCCGACTTTATACACAATTTCAAGAGCCCTACCTAAAGGATCCTGCTGCTTATCCTAAAATCCAGGTCAAGTAGTTACAAAGCCTAAGATTTTTCTAAAATTAATTTTCTCTCTTTAAGAATGGGAAAATGCGGCCCTGGCCGGTGTGGCTCAGTTGGTTGGGGCATCGTCTCATAAACTGAAAGGTTGTGGGTTTGATTCCCAGTCAGGGCCCATGCCTGGGGTGAGGGTTCAATGCCCAGTCTGGGCACGTGTAAGGGGTAGTTTCTCTCCCTCTCTCCCTAAAATTCAGTAACCATGTCCTTGGGTGAGGATTTAAAAAAAAAAAAGGGAAAATGTGGTTCCACCACTGAAAATGTGTTTGGCGTAACTGCTGCCGTTTGTGTCTCCTGCAGATGCTGGTGTACCTGTTCTACTCCGTCCCGTATTTCCTGGTGGCGCTGTATGGGCTGGTGGTGCCAGGCTGCTCCTGGATGGCTGACGTGACGCTGATCCACGCTGGAGGCCTGGCTCAGGTACCGAGCTGCCCCGCTACCAAAGCTCGCTGGGGACGGGCTGTCGTGGGGGAGTATCTGGAAAAACATCTGTGCTCGGTGTCTGAGGGTAGGACATGCTAACTGGACATGTCCCCTTTTGTTGTGTCCTTGAGCAGCCACTTCACCCCTATTTTACTGAACTCTCACAGTAACTACCTGGCAGGCGCTCCGCCAGTTATACAGAGGACGCTGGGCGAGGTTCCATTTGTGTACTGTGCGGCGGGTCAGAGGATAGTTAGCCTTGACTTCTGTTCCCTCGCCCTGGTTCCCCCTGGCTGCTTCTCCTGTGTCCTCTGGGACAAAGGGCCTCCCACTCTTACCACGCCCTTTTTCTTGAGAGCATTAGATTGCTCAGAGTTCCACGGCTACTTGGCACCTGTGTGCTTTCAGCTGGAAGGCTGGTAAGACTGAAGCCAGGTATTGGACCTGGTCACGTCTCAGAAGACAACTGTGAAGGCCTGGTCATGTGGGCAGGGCAGCAGTCAGGAGGCTTGGGAAGGCCACAGCTTGGGGCAGAGGGGGGCTCGAACCTATCACAATGAGACTAACCCAACTATACCTGCTGGGGAGGCTGAGCTTATGGATGGGCACCTACCTCAGCCAGGTGGTTCTGGGAACGGTAGGGTGGGCAGTAAAGCAAATGTCGCCAGCAGCGGCACCTTCAGCCAGGCCCCTGGCCTTGAAGGAATCCTTGGGCTCATACATTGCCCATGAGCCTACGGACTAGGCCCTGTCAAGCCAGAAGGCCATTTCTCCCGCCCCAGCACAAGGGTATATTCGAGAATTCCATGTGTGACACTCCTATAGTTCTTGGCTGGGCTTCAGCGTCTGTCGGCCTCTTGGGAGCATGTAGCCTAAGGAAAAGTTACAAATCATACCGCAGCAAAGTGCAGAGGGTAAAAGAATGCTGACTTACAGTCCCAGTGGATGCTTCTGAAGAAAGGAGTCCTCCCCTTGGGAGGGTATCTGATACAGTCACCATGGAAACATGCTCCGTTCCCTGGCCGAGCACCCCTGGTGTGTTGAAGCCGCCATTCCTCATTCAGAAACGTTACGTGTCCGTGATTCCACAAACTTGATCAAAACCGGCCTTTACTGAAAGACCCAGTGAACTCCCAAGAGCCAATGTGCTTTAATGAGGAAAAATAAATATCTGAAACCCTTCTAGATTAGTACACATCAATGGAAGACGTTAGTTATAGGGCCTGATTTCCATCCATGTAGGAGTCGCACAAATCTGCTGCCTTCACAAATCAAGAGGGCAATCAGAAGGTAAACCCCACCCATCCAACCCAGCCGGGACACATTTCACACCCAAGTTCCCTGGGGGACTTCCTCATGGCCCAAGTGCCCCCTCGTACAAAACTCTCACCATAAGGTTAAAGTTACAAGTCTAATTTGAAAAGCATGAGATCTGCTCATTGGCATTTTCTGTCAACTGAAGAATTTTTCTGCTAAAATATTACTAGAAACAACAACAAAAAACAGAGCCAACAGTCAAAATGGCAAGAGCATGAGCTCTGGAGGCAGACCGGTTCAGGCCACAGAGGGTCCCTGCTACGTCAGCTCTCGGTTCCTCGGTTCCCTGTTCAGTGGAGTTAGGGTGGCGATGATGCCTCCCTCACGGAGCTGCCGTGAGGATGACGCAGGGTACCGTGTTGGGCGCATCATCAGCCGCAGACCTCTTTGCTACTGCTGTTCTCGTTGGAAGCTTCCCAGTGAGTCTGGAGGGGAAATGCCTTGTGCTTCTCAGAAGACTCTGTTATTAATCTGTGTTTGTGCAGAGTGGGCGATTGCCGAAAACACCAGAGAAACTGGGAGCGAGCTTTGGGACAGCCTCACAGTGGGTCTGGCAGGGAGCTGCCACGCTGCCCCCTCATGGCCACGAGGCAGGAACGCACCCCTTCGGTCAGAGGCCTCGGGCTCGCACCCCCTGAGCACTTTCTCACAAAAGGGCCTGAGGCCAATCTGTGGACTATTTGATTGAAGAGGTGACTCTACTGGAGGTGAATTTTATAAGCTTCTTCCTTTATGGAAACCGTTAAGAAATACCCGATGGTAAGGGTTCAAGAACACAGGTAACTGGGAAACTAATGCAAATCCCATCCTAATCAGATGCTAAGGGGGTGACTCACCACTGAACGCCTTTCATTATTAAATGTAGACTTTGGGTTTAGTGTCGCTACTTTATATACTTATCCTTTAGTGGAGAAGGACAGTCTTGGTATTGTCAAAAGGGCAGCAAGGGGAACAAAAAACCAAGCCCAGGTTTTTAACAGAGTACAGGACCTTGAGCAGGTATGCGCGTGGAGTTTTGTACCCGTGTCTGCAGGAGAGCACCATGTGCTTGGCACGGTCCCACACTCCTCAGAAAAACCAACCCATGGAGCCCACAGGACAAGGAGGGGGCTGGCTCCGTCATTACCCTGGATGGGTGAGGAAGCCAAGGGGTTACGTACCCAACGCAAGGTCAGGCTGCTGGTGTGTGGAGCTGGGACTGGCTGCTCAGTCTGCTTCCCGATTCAGGGCTCTTAACCACTAGCCTATGCTGCTCAGAAAGCCCTACAAAATGACAACATGGTTCTGGATGAGCTACTTGTACTGTTATTGCCCAAACTGCCCGGCTATCATCCCAATGTTCTCATTAGTTTTTGCCTGCATTTATGCAGACACATGAAACTTTCAGTTCTTTCTGGAACCAGGAAAGTGATTTTTCAGTCACCCCTTCCAGGTTGTCTTTATAAGAAAACAAGGCTTTTAAGATTTAACCTTTTTTGCCTTTATTCTCTTTCTATCCCAACCATCCATTCTTAAAAAATGTGTGTATACACACACACACGTATATAGATATAAATTAAAATTAAGCTAAAAATGACTTTGAATGAAGTAGAAAACAGGTTACTTGGCACTCAACCTCATGCCACTGAATTTTGGAGAAATGTCTGGGACCCGTAACTTGTACCGGTAGCCCTGGGCCAAGTGCCCTTGTGCAGTAGGGACGTCACCGAGCTGCCCGACCCCAGGCTGGCCTCAGGCTGAGCTCCCTGGGCCCTGTGGGGAGGGAGCGTTACCCAGGAGATACCGCGCAGCCCCGTATCCGCTCACACTTGGGAAGGAACCCCTCCTGGAGCGAGGCGGGGGTTCCCATGGAGCTTCGAACCCTGCGCGCAGACTCCGTAGGTGCTGCGGGGAAGCAGAGGTCGGGGGCCCACTGGGCTGAGTGGCACCCGCCGCCATCACACCGTCAAAACTGCACAGAACTGGAAACCGCAGGACACTGGCCTCAGGCTTCTTCTCTCACAGGCAGACACCTCTTGATTAGAAATATCATCGTATTTGCCCCTCGTTAAGTAACGCTGAAGGAAAGGGCCGACTGAAACAGGTGTAAGGATAAGGGAAATGCTTTGTGGAAGCTGTATGTATTTTGACAGTCACGAGGCCATGATTGTAGAACGTTTATTGAGCTGTAACAATGCGACAGGTGCCACACAGAACATTAGACACAGTACCTGCCCGGCGGGCTCACAATCTAATCTAAGGACACGATCGCTTTTTCCCGCTGCCAGGTGTGCTGTCGGGGATGAGGCGCTCGCCGCAGGCCTCCCGGCGCGGGCAGGCACCCCCGCTCCCGGTACCCACTCTCCCCAAGCAGGGCTGGCGTTTCCCCATGTTTGCTGGTTTGTGATGTGTACAGGACAAGTGTCTATAAAGACACGAGACCCACATTCCTGAAATCAAGGTTCAAATCTGGCCCCTAGTGCAGAAGACACATTTTGGTTCCATATTCAGACACGTGCTGTTACCCAGAATAGGCTCTGGGGGAGATCAGGGCCGGGGCCGGCTCAGGGCAGCCTCTAGAAGGCCCTCTGCTCCCGAGGTCTCTTGTCTTCACGGCCCAGAGGTGAAATGCCTCCCGTCGCCTGGGTTCTGTTTGGGCGTCCGCCCTGGGGAGGTGTGCGAGCAGAGCCCTCCCAGCGTCTCGTGGGCCGCGATGCGGAGGTGTCCCGGGCCACACATCAGCCGATTTAATTTCTGTCTCCAGAGAGGAGCAAAACTGTCCCAGAGGTCCCCAGAAGGTATCAGTAATTTGTAAAAACGTAGCCTGGCAAAACAGCTGTCACTGATACACACCCAAACACATGCTGCTTATGGAAGTGTGCCCTTTTATTGTAAATAAAGTCAAGTGCCCAGTACCACCGATTTCTATTAACCACTTAGCAGAATAACCTGATTTCATATGGCAGGAAATGGGAGACAGCTAGTATGTACTCAAAGAAAGCTAGTTTTTCATTGTTACTTCTGTGACTTCTTTAGATTGTAACATCTTTTGTCTCTTCTCTTTGATCCTGATGAGTAACTCACCACTTATGACATTTAAATTCCCAGTTCTTTATTCATGGATATCTTGAATTTCAGCAAGATAAGAAAATGAAGACTCTGGGACTGCTTTTTGTAACGATACAAGGATCCTGAGGAAATCTTCTCGCAGAAGCCTTTTCTAATAGTTTCCCCCTGTCCTTATGGAAAGGATCAAAAAAGACCAACCAGCACATTCTGATGTGCGCTCTGAACTAGCACAGAGGCACCATCGGGAAGCGCTTGCTTTTCCATTTTGCAGGCTGACCGGCTGTGCTCCCTGAGCTGTAGCTGGACCTGCACAGGGAGCCTACATGTGCGGGAGCCACTTTATCGCAAGCAACCGTAACCCCACCCCAGCCAGGCTGGCCACAATCTTCTCTTACAAAACCATCCTTAGCATTTTTTAAGTTGTGTAAGAAACAAATACGCGATGAAACAAACAAACAAATAAAAACATATAACCAAGGGCCTTGAGGTTCTGCTCCAGGGAAAAGGCAAAAGGGCTGATAAACAAAACAGAGACCCTCAGTACTTCTTTTTAAATAGTTAAGCTAAAAATATTTTAACTTTCTCAATTCCCGTACTTGCTTTATTTTTATGGGAACACTGTGAGCCACAGGTCGAGTTTTTTTACAGAATCCCCAGCATGCAAATCAGAAACAAAACCTGAGGTTTTATTCAGGTTTTTCTGTTGAATTGAACTACTAACGTTTGGTACGGGGCACTGGATGGGCTATAAAACAGCGGGTATGATAAAGCCACTCTAGAGAAAGTATACTTTATTCAAACAGTTATGCCAAGACCAGCCCTAAATTCAATGAAATATTCAAGAGTAGGAATTGTTCAAAAGTACTGGTTTTTTAGGGCCCAGGAACACGGTCTGGATGAATCATTCAGAACTCGTTACGCCTCCAACGGAACACAACAGTCATGTCTACCCTTTTGTTTTTTGTTTTTAAATGCAACAGGCTCAGTTTTCGCACATCGGTGCTTCTCTTCACGCTAGAACTGCTTATGTCTACAGAGTCCCCGAAGACGCGAAAGTCCTCTTTCTAGCCTTAAACATAGCATACGGCGTTCTTCCTCAGCTCCTGGCCTACCGCTGTATCTACAAACCAGAATTCTTCATGAAAACAAAGGCGGAGGAGAAAGCTGACTAAAGCACGATGTCACGTGGCTCTTCTCTGGAGGACCGACTCGGGCTCCCCTGGTACTGATGCTCCGCCCCATTCCACTCCCTGCCCACACAGGGACACGTGAGGCTGCCGGCCGCTTGTCCTCCGCCGTGTATGTGAGCTGCATATGGGATTGTGTGGGTAAATTGTCTTTTTAAAAAAAATGTTTGAAGGAAAGCTCAAAGTGTTGAGACACTGTTTAAAGAATACCTTCAAAATTTTTTTGTGAATAAACTTGACCATCTATGTCAATATTGTTTGCACATATTAAATGTAAGTGTGAAAAATTACAGTTTAGCTCTTGTAACAGTGAGCGTGGAAGTGAAGCCATTCAAAAGTGAATATGGTTCATGTGTATTGAAAGTTCAAAAAAGCAAATAGATTGGGTAGTTTTGCATATTAGATGTATATGCTCCATTATCAACATTGATAGAAAAGGCAAATTATTAGAGTATTTTAAAATGTTATTTGAAAAATGTTTTCCCAAGGAAAGTGTATTATTATTCACTGCTGTTTTAAAAACTGTTTTTACTAAAACTTTTTCAGTTTAACTAGCTAAGGAGGGATTGATAACTTGATCATTATCCTTAATGGAATACTTGTTTTACTGGTGACTGCAGGTATTTCTACTGTATTTCTGTGTATATTTTTAATAAAATTGTTTGTCTTTTTATGATGACAAATCTTATTAAATTTGAAGCGTTTTCCAGAAGGTTCGGTAGTTATTTTAAAAGGCTGTCATTTCTGTGTTCCAATTCCAAACGTCACCTGCGTTCTCCTCCCGTAGCCGTGTCCCTTGTGAAGAGGCCTTTTGAGGAATTACAGTTCACTAACATTATTAAAATACTCAAAATTAAAGACGACCTTTCAAGGAAAGGAACTGGACTGTCACTCCTACTCTCCTGTAGCGGATTCCCACACCTGGAGCTGTGCGAGCGGAGCGTAATTCAGAAGAGCCGGTGCGCGCGGAACGAGCAGCCCGGGGCGCGCGGGTGCGGTGCCCGGCGGGGGCGGGGCGGGGCAGGCCCTCGGCGGGCGCGAACCGCCGCCTGTCACCAGCTCTTCCCCACAGAAAGAACAGAAAAAAATGGGGTCCGGATCCACACACGGATAAGGTCTGAATTTAGGGCCCAGTGAGCTGGTAAATGGCTTAGGTAGACGAGCAACCAGAGCCGTTCCTCTCCCCCACCCAACGTGTTCATAAAAAACCCCCTAAAGCCCAGGGTGTTCAAAAAGAAAAAGAAAACCCTCACCTGCACTTGACTCTATTGTTAACTTGCTGTTAACCAATTTTGCTTTAATATATGAATTACATTAATACCTCACATTACATATATGAAGCCAAATTACACTAACTCAGCTGTTTACAACCTCAAATCTTACTCCCAGTACACATTCCAATAAATTTATTCTGTAAAAACAATACATTTTTTTTGTTTTTGATTTTTTTTTTACAGTAAACTTTTCAACTACAAACCTCGAATACGCGAAATATGTTCCAAGGACAAGCATAACAGGATTGAGGAAAAACCCAAACTGACTAAATGTGTTCTCACAATATAAGCTGGCATAAAAATAAATAAAATTCTCTATTATCACAATAGCAACAATAATGTACACATAATAATGGTTTGTGGATGGGTAGTAACTATTCTAATTCTAGTTCCGAAAGAAAACAAGGCTGTTTGGAAAGTCTGTACTTAAAAGTCACCGCGCTGTCTGGCTTCCCATGGGGCCGCCGCGGACTCCAGCTCTGAAAGGCCAAGTGCCTCCCTTGAGTGAGTCCCCCCCCTCCCCCGCCCCCCGCCCTGGCGGCGGGAGGATAAAGTGTCGCCTTTATTCGGGAGTGACACAGAAAGACTCACTGACTTCACATGTAGAAACTGGGTGTGTGTGCATAACAGCATGAGTTTTGAGAAGTATAAGCTGTCAACTGGCTATTTCTAATACGGAATAGATATTTTACAGTATGATTCAACTTTACACATGGCCTCAAAAATGAAGAACAATTTTAATTCCATCTTCAATATGCCAACGTCATCTATCTAGGAACTGGCTCCTGGGTTAGAGGAAATACACATCATGTTGAGTGGTCATTTTTTTTAAATGCAAATTTATATCTAACTGAGTGTTTGGTGCTGGCGGAGTACAGGCAGGGTGTGGAGAACACAACTGCCTTGATTAAAGGATCCTGGACATGTATAAGTTTGTGCAAAAATCTTGATAATCCTTAGTGGTTAAGGGCAACTTCATGCAACCAAATAACATGAAATTAAATCAATAACCTTAAAAAAGGCTAAAATGTCTTTTTTCTTCCTTTCTCTAAACACAAACAGAGAGGACTGTGAATAATGTGCATACAAACTGGGGTTCTGTCGATGACAACAAGGACCGTGTTGGTTCATATCAAATCCAAGAATAGTAGACAACCAAACGCACAACCTTTCTGCGGTTTCTCTGAATATGCAGCATTCATTACGGTAGTTAGGTCTGTAAAAGAAAAAAGAAAACAAACCTTTAGGCAAGTGAGGATATTAAAACAAGCTGCCCACACATACACAGCGGACAACCGGGTCTCCTGGGATTTTCACCTGCATGGCAGCACGGACCACTCTCACCAAGAACCACCTGAGGCTCTGCTTTGTACCTGCCAGTGCAAAAAGCCAAGAGAACGAGTAGGGCATCTTTAGTGTTCCACTAGGGAAAAAGGAAAGAAAAATAAAACCAACAAATGTTGCCTGCTGTCTGGCAGGGCATGGAGCGCAGCGCTGTGTGCTCTGTGCAAGTCTAGCACAGTGTGGTGCTGGGACACAAGGTCAATGGAGAAACTGAGGTAATCTGTCTTTCTGAGGGCAGTGGTGCCCGAAAGGAAGGTAAGCTGCTTAACATTGAAAAAGCATTTGGGCCCTGGCTGGCCTGGCTCAGTGGAATGAGTGGTGACTCGGTTGGAGCATCGTCCCCATACACCAAAAAGGTTGCAGGTTCGGCCCTATTTGGGGCACATGCCAGAGGCAACCAATCGAATGTTTCTCTCTCACATGGGTGTCTGTTTCTCAAATCAATAAAAGCATGTCCTTGGATGAGGATTGGAAAAAAAAAGCGAATGAAAGTGTATGCAAATTATTCCATGTAATATTTACAACTTAATTATTGTGATATATGGCTTATAGAAGTACTAGAGTTGACAAAATCAAGATGGACTAAAAGAAAGGAAGGCCAGCTTCCTTCCAGAATTCACATGGCATCCGTGTGATACAAAGATAAAATGTTTCCATTTCCTAAAAGAACGGTGTTTCCATGTGGGTCTCACTTTAAACTGTGTCAGGCTACATTTCCCCACAGGGACCCTGTTTTTTTTTTCCTTCATCATTAACCCAAATACATTCAAGCGCCTAGTAATGCTCTCATGGGATGAATGAAAGAGGGAACTGAGGCCCCAAATATTTTCTCTGAAACAGCCTGCTTCAGCCCTTTCCTTCCCGAGCGGGTGGATGTGCCTGTGAGCACATGTGGCCCGTGTGCGGGCGGGTGCTCCCCCCCAGGCAGCCTCGGTGCCGCACCCCGGGATGCCCGGACCTCCAGAGACAGCAAGCGCGAAGCCCCCCGTCCCCGCAAGTGGCAGAAGTACATTTCTCAGCCTCTGGTTCTGCCAAAAGGAGAAAGACAATCTTAAAAATAAACGAACAGGAACACCACATTTAAAATCTGTGAACTTGCAAAATGCAGTGCCTAGTGACTCCTAACTATTAACAAATAAAAGCACTGGATATAAGATTATACTCACAGACTTCGGAGGATTTTCCTCCTTTGTGAAGGAGGAACATGCTCATTTAAACAGTAAAAAACTGTTAATCAACCAAAAAACTTCTTGAAGAATGTCTTTTTGTTAAAATTAACGTGAAAGGCAATAAATTCTATGTCCACACTAGTAGAAAACTCATAGCAATAATTCAACCCAAACGAAGAATATTTTTGGAACAGGTGGTCCCACCGCAGCCTCAGAAAATTATTATCGCCCCAAACAAAGTGCAGGTGGCACTAGAATGTGACCACAACCTCAAGGACATGCTTGCTTTTTTTTTTTTAAAGTTATTTATGTCTTCCAAATATTTCATTATAAATATACCCATTTTCTTATAAAATAATTTTAACCACATTTTTAATATCACTACCAATCTTGTCAGAAAAATCTTTTGGGAAGCTGTCGGTCATGGAGGATTTAAGTTTTTCAGAGTTCTAATTTTCACTTAAAAGCTAAAACTGTATCACTGGCAACAAATACTGCCAGTTCCTTTCCTTGAAGTAATAAGTTCATTTATTGAAAAAAATTTTTTTTTATTTTTATTTTTTAAAATATTTTACTTATTTAATTTTTAGAGAGAGGGGAAGGGGCGGGGGAAGGGGGAGAGAGAAACAGTGACTGAGGCGTGAGAGGAACGCCGACCCGCCGCCTCTCGCACACCCACCTGGGGACCTGGCCCGCAGCCCAGGAGTTGCCCCGTCTGGGAATCCAACCAGTGACCTTTCAGTTTGCTGGACAATGTCCAAGCCACTGAGCCACACCAGTCGGGGCTCATTTCACTTATTTTTGACAAAGTGCCACATACCCAAGTCTGACGAACCATATTTATCGTCGTCATTTTTTTTTTTACCAAGTCAAATGGTGCTCTTACCCCTTCGCTGGTTTTTTGCGAGTCTGAACTTGTGTTTCTTGTGTCATTGCCGGCGTCCCCACCCTCCGAGCCACTTTTGTTTTCCTCTTCTTTGCAGTCCTTGTCATCTTCATCTCCTGGAGATTTCCGGGACTGTTTAGAGGATTTCTAAATGTTTAGACAAGTTAAAAAGCATAGTCAAAAGGAGAATCCCAAACGCACAAGCGTAAGAAATGCAGCAGGGGCCGCCCACACCCGGCCCCCTGGCATGACACAGGCTCTGCGGCCGCAGCCCACAGGGTGCCGGGCGCGGTGGCCCTGGACCCATCATGTCACCTCACTGGGCCTCCCTCAGTCTAACCAGCTGGAAGCAAGGAGAGGTGGGCTAGGTGACCTTTCTTTTAACAGTTATGTCCAGCAGTGAGGTGTTAAAAGCAGAAAATAGAGACTCACGTACCCAGAGGAGTCAATGAATAAACAGAGCTGGACGGACGCCTTTGGGAGGCTCCCGAGCTAGAAGGCGCCCTACAGGTCACCTCGTCCTTCCCCGTCTTTTTACAGCAGACGCCGAGGTCCAGGGAGGCGAGGTGAACCATCCCGGGTTAAGAGACGGACCTCGGCGCGGGGGCACCTGCTGAGGCTGCCTGCGGAGTGGCGTACGCGGAACCACATATCACCACATGATGCAAAATAATTGATCTTTTAAATTACAGGTAGCTATTTAAGAACCCAAGGCCGTCCTGGTGACCTAGCCCTTTTTCCCCCTCATCATCTTGCATTTGAAATCAAGATGAATTCTAGAGGAAGAACAAAATACAGTTACAGTTCACAGCCAGAATTACTTCGCAGAACAGCATTAAAATGACCAAAGACGGGTCCTGCTGGACACCTTTAAGAAAATAAAATGTAGCATTTTATCATTTCCTCTTTGAGGAATTTAAGAATCATTAAGCACATGACAAATAAGGGCTAAGGCAGAAGTGATTCGGCCAACACTTTGGTCTTCCAGAAGTGAATGAGCAAACGGGAGTTTCCTTGGACAAACAATATTTTAAAATGCAACTTCCAGAGAGAAAATATCTTCTGGCTACGTGATATAGATACTAATTACATTGCTTCTACTTTACCTAACCGACACTACCAACCCAGTCCAAAATGACAGTTTAAATGAGGCCGCTTTTACTTTTTACATGGAGGGAAAGCAGGGATTTAATAACCCAAAGGTGGAGTGTCCGGAGCAAGGGTTAAGATCTAGTACGACAACACGAAAGTGGAATTCCCTAGGAAACAGGGTACGAGCACTAAAATGCAGCGACTGCTTTATACAGTAATTCTCAAATAGTAGTCCTTGACCTGCGGTTCTTTTCTGCTAGATAACAGTGCACAGCTCCCTAAAACCTGTAACGCTCACAAAGGCCACGAGTGGTTTACAGGCATTCCAACCGGGCGCGCACAGACCGGATCGGGGCGCTGTGAAAGCTGGGCCGAAGCGCCCGGGGCTCAGAGTTCTCCTGAGACACCCGGCTGCTGAGCCGTACTTGGTAATATGGCTACGCTCCTACGGGGCATATTCTTTGCAATCCCTGAATGTCAGGGAAGGACCCTTTGTTTCCTCAGTGTGGTCCTGAAGTGGCTGTGGGTCTAGCTGTTTTCATCTTTGTTTTTAACTAAATTACCAGTGGCTCGCATGCGCCGTGCTGTTGCCCTCGCTTCCCAGTCTCTCCCACGGCTCAGGTCTGAGTCACCCGCACTCCGCCACAGGGTACACACACCGCTCCCTCCAGTCTGTTTTGTGCTATGGCTTTTCACTCTGATCATTGACTGAGCTTTGTTTTTTCACAGAAAAAGTGGCATTAGGTAGAGGGAGTGCGGGACCTTTACCCCTTCAAACTGGGATGCAGTCAAAAAGTCTGTGAATCACTGATTTTTAGTAGCAAAGGAACACCATTCAACTTTAAGAAACAGAGGTAAACAAATACATGAGTTCCATTACTTCTGGTCTTCACAACGGGAAATGAATAATGCCATTCAAAAGCCACACAGCCACACTTCCAAATGCCAGGCTACTTAGACAATTGAGGGAGATACAACACATGACACAGCAGCTCAGCAGGTAATCACAGATTTAAAAAAATCAACTCAATTGGATATTTAAGTGATGTCCAAAAAACTAAAGGATACTCGGCTAAAAAAAAATCACTGCAATGGAAAATAAGTTTGATGGGGGCAATTCTAATCATTTTGTTATTTGCAAACTTTATCTCCACCCAAAGCAAATATCATGGTTTTCAGGAGGTGCAGGGGAAGTAGTATGTTTTTATACAATTTTACCTGTACGCAAGTTTGGGAGACTTTACCGACCATAAAATAAAGTGTTTATAGTCTGATAAACTCTTGGCACTTGTTTTAAGGGGTTTCCTTAAGTATTTCCAGACACTAAACACCAGAATCTAAATGGAAGTAATTTATCCAAGTATTCACTCGTGCGACAGACCAATTGCAGTAAAACCTGGACCAGTCTTTGGTCTTCAAAGGTCCATTTATCTTGCCTTCAGTTTCTAAAAGGTGAACAGTTTTCACAATCTCATGGTTTTTTCAATTACATCTCTGAATCACTATATGAAAAACCTACACTTTCAATTCGTAAATGTAGAATCACTTCACCCGTTTAAAGCTTTCAATAAATTACTGTTACATCTGGAATAAAATCCAAAGTCGTTAATGGGACAAACAGCCCTCCCTGGCTTAGCCTCTGCCTGTCCCTCCCCCCGCCACGCCCCAGCCACCCGCCCTCTTTCAGTTCAGCCCCCGCCAGCGCCCACCGCTCCGGGCGCGGGGCCCCTCCTCTCACCTCCCCCCGCCTCAGCACCCCCTCACCTTCTCACAAAGGCCTGGCCCTCCCGTCTACAGTAGGTTCTCCGTCACTCCCTGCTCTCATTCCTTCCCTTCATAGTTTATATATTACTTGCTTGTTTACTCTGTCCCCTCTCTATTCCACTGAGTCCCTAGTCACACGAGGGCAGGGAAGGAACTGGATTGGCTCACCACGGGACGCGTGGTGCAAGTGCTGGACACAGAATCCGTGACCAGGAAATAGGAGAACTGAACAAAAAAGAGCTACAGCACATCCTTCGAAGCAGGAAGGCAAGTAAGAACACAGCTTTACGTTTACGCCTAGGGCGCGCTGAGATGGCCCGGCACCGCACTGAGCCTCCCACGCTCCGAACTCTTGCGTACACTCACCTGGAGGTGACCGCAGCACGCACACCTGTCTCGCACCCTTGACTAAGGGGACAGTCCTCCGCTGGCGGACACAGCAGTTATTTGGGGGCTGAATCAGCCCCACAGTCAGCAGCAGCCAGTCCCCCCTTACCAGAGGCTACCTGTCTGACCCCCCTCGGCTATACCGAGCTAGGGAAGAGGCTCCACAGAGCTACTGCGTCCCTAAGTGCCCACCGAATGAATCACAAACGACCGAAAGCCTTCCCTGAACATGCACACAACGTCACGGCAGGGGGCACAGGGTCTCAGCAACCTTCGAGGTGTAGGACTTTTTCCGCTTCGAGCCGGCTTTCTCATTCTTCCTTTTGCCTTTTCCGTCCTCTTCAACTCTGTCCCCTTCCTCCTCGCTGCTCGCATCTGCGGTATTGCCACCCTCTCCCTCCGTTTCTGAGGAGCTCTGCTGCTGAATTGCCTAAGAAATAAAATATTAGCCTATGACATTTCTGAAAAGCAGCATAGAATGTAGACTGTGAAAAGCATTCTGTTTATTCTGTTTTATTTTGAAAGGGTTCAGTTTACTCTTAAGAGTCTCAAAATAAAGGGCTGTCAACCTCAATTTTCCCGTGACCACTTCACTTGCACCTGCTTGGGTAACAGAATTACAACTTCATCCAAAATGCTACCAGAGCCCAAGAGCATCCTGGCTTCACATGGAGGGAGGGCAACTACTAGTACAAAGGGCATATCAGGAAGATCCAAAGAGGAGTTAAAACCGAAGAAACGAGCTATGGCAAGTGACAATGAAGTAAACCGTTACCTGGTATCCAGTGAACTTTACTCCTGGGTTATTTTCTATTTCCCACAGTCCTTCATTAAATCCTTTCCGTTTGTTTGACTTCCCAAACTTGTCTTTGTATTCCTTATAGGGGAAAAGGTCTTTGGGACCTAGAAATGCGCTGCGGAGACATATTAGAAATAGAATGGATATTCGGACCTTCAAATGTAGGGTATTTTTAACAGCAATATCTACTAAGATGCCAGAGCATATTTTGGTAAACAAATTAAAAATAAGTAGAAATCTTGAGTTCGGCACGTATCACAAGAAGTTTTACACACGTGTTCCAAGGCAGAAAACGTGGACAGCTGGGCATACAAGCCGGCGACCCTGTTCTACTTTCTGGCAGCCTCTCTAGGAAAATGTAAGTTGCAAAGTCCACAATGTCTACTGGACAAAGCAAAATAAAACTAACTTCCAGAAAGAAACACAACTCTCTTGCCTATGAAGAACAGAAAGACGGCTTCGGGGCCCTTCCCTGGCGAGCTCGCCTTCCCAGCGAGAATGAGGGCGATGTCCAGGACCGGGGCCGCGGGCCGAGGCCCAGGTGCGCCTGGTTCCCCTAACACTCAGGGGGACCCGGGGATGGCCCTGCATTTGAAGACGTGTAAGGTTTTGTGGTAGTTTGGGCTTCCCTCACGTTTGTAACTCCTATTTTCCATTTGTGTGCGACAATTAACCAGACATTCTCTGAGTGTCCCCTAGTGTCCCTTCCCTTCTCCTTTCCTCAGCGCACGGGCCACCCTGCCCATCCGCCCCGCCTGGAGCCCGTTTTCCAGCTTCCCTCACAGCTGGGCCACACAGCCAAGTCCCGGCCACCCGGTCGTTCCTGTACAAGAAGTTATTTGTTCTTCACCTCTTCTCTTTCCCCCGTCCCTTTACCTACAAAATGCATGGGTGCTGCTTAGCCAATTTTTTTTGATTAAAACTTTTTTTTTTTTTAAGAAATAAGCAGACAAGGTCGACACCCCAGAGAATGGCAGGATGCATAACAAAGGAACCCGGATCCCTAGAACAAAGCTTTCTACCCATCTTGTTCTCTCTGCCTGTCTCTGGGTTGTTTCAAAAGACAGATGTAAACGTCTATACCATTGGAAATACCTGTCTCTTCAGATTCCATTATTCAACTGTTTAGCCTGTACTCTAACCATACAATTAGAAAACCTTAAAAAGTTTGTGGTATGTTTGCTTCTGGATCCAACAAATTGGGGAAGCCTGAGACGACAGGCTCAATTTACAACGTGAAGTATGAATGGAAAGAAATTCCTCTGGAAGGAAAATGCGAGAGAGCGACAAAGGAACTCACCGGGAGTGGTGGAGGGGCCACCCTGGGACCGAAGTGCCCACGGGGAATTCTGGGTGATGCCCAACATTAAAGCAGAAACAAAGGGGACACGCAAAAGCAAAGTAACTGAACATCTTTACCTTAAGAAAGGATATATGATTAAGGTTGGTAGCTTTACATAATTGATTGTAATGATTTCCACAAGGTATAAAATGCTATAGATCGTCCATAACAATGTAGTCTAGCAGCGTCAAATCAGAGCATTTGGAACCTGAGGTTGCTTTGCTGACTTACGTTTCGTGGGTGCCAAAAAAGAAGATAGGGTACTTGTTTGCCGGCGGCTTCACTGCTCCCTCTGGGAGTTCATCGATCTGCCAGAGACAAAGTGAAGTTAGTCGACATGCAGTTAAGTCATGTAAAATACCATAAATGCAATACAAACATTGTTATGAGAATGTATTGCTAATTTCAAAATAAAATTACTCTAATCAAAATCCCGATAGTTTTTCTTCTCTTGAACCTTGCAAGACGATTCTGAATGCCGTGCGCAGCCCGCGCAGCCCACGCAGGGCGAGTGAGCCGATCGCAGCCGTCACGGAAACGCGCCGCCCTCAGCCGCAGCGGCAGCACCTCGCTCCCTTCCCCTCAGTAGCGCTACTCCTGGGACTCCATCCCAGTGAAGTAGCTAAAACCGCCACCAGCTCCAACTCCCCCCCAAGGAGGCATTTTGGGGGGATAATAGCAAATTTACACACACCCCTACAAATGTAATTGTTGCAAGACAGGAGAGGTACAGAAAACGCACTGGATGAAGTAGTATGCAGACACTGAAAGATACTACCTCTTGCGTCTGCAGTCTCTCCCCACCTAGGTCAGCTCAAGTGACCTTTGAAAACGCACATCTGATTATGCCAGGTCTTGCTTCAACTCGTCCACAGCTCCTCACTGAGGACAGCATCCCTAGCTGGACACCTAAAACCTGTGAAGCTCTGAAAAACCAAAATACTCCAGCCTTTCCCCAAACCTACCAACTCCTACATGCAGCTGAGGCTGAGAACCTCGATAGGATTCAGTCCAAATTCCTTAGAATGTTATCTAGTTATATATATGTATTATACCTTAGAATATTTCAAGAAATGGTCCTTGACTCCCAAATCTCCATCTGTGGCTCCCACCTTTCATCTGGGTTCCAGGCACGAAATCACAGATCTCTATAAACCGTGTCCCCATGCCGCTCCTAGGGGCAGCTGACACTGGGGAAGAGGCCCGCACTCGCCGTGGGGACCAGTCTCCTGAAGACACCTGTGGCCTCGCTCGCTCACACGCAGCACCCACTTGCGGCGCACTTGCCACCCCACGCGCGTCTCTGCACTGGAGGGGCCCCAGGCCCCAGGACGGATGCCTGGGTGTGCTGAGAACACGCGGCCTCTGAGCCCAGAAATTTGCAGTTACAGCCTGCTTCGGATCGGCATCGTGATACCAGAGGTATCACTTAGTCACTTAATCTCTTGGGGCCTTGACTTTTACATCTGTAAAAGGAGCTGGCCATACCAGGTAACCTCTGGGCTTCCTTCAGGTCCTGGAATTCCGAGGCTTGTCTAAAACTGAACTGATCTCTCCTTTGACTCTTTTGTTTCCTATCTTAATTGTGGGGAAGCTTTCACTGCTTTACTCAGATCTTTCAAACTCTGCCTCCCACACCAACAAACTTTAAAGAAAGATAATCATGTAAAACTAAATTCAGATATTTGTGAAACCAATTCATAAGACTTGTGTCAACTTAGGCATCTCTCTTAATTTTTAATGTCAGTTTCATTGGTTTTATGTTGTCAGCATAAAATGATATGTAACATCTACTTTCCCCCCTTAAATTCTATTGTGTCTGATCTAAATCACTGCCATCTCTCTGTTTGTTTTACTCAAGTGTGATAAACAGGTATTTCCAGCTCAGGGGTGATTTCTGCCTCTCCTTTCTGTTCGGTTGGTCTGTTATAAACATCCTGCTGTTGGATATTATCAGTCCAAATGGAGGCCGTTTATGTTTGTAATACCCTGCCTGTCTCTTTTTACCTGCTTTTCCCCTCTTCGTGCTTTCCTTTATTCTGTGAATTATAACTCAAATACCCCATTTTTAATTGTACAAGTACTTCAAATATTTCAAGAACACTATTCAAAGAGCATTTGGGTGATAACCTTAAGACAGTACTAACCTATTCTAACCTGAAACAAAAGGGGTTTGGTGCTCCCCCCCTCTCTGCCTCATTCACCTTCCCTATCTTTCCTCTACTGTGCTTTGCTGTTTGGATTAACACGACCCAGGGCAGACGCCTCCAAAGGGGCAGGAGGAGACATGCCGTGCCGAAAGGAGGCGGTGACCATCATGTCTGACTTGCAAAGAACGTGGTCAGACACCCGGAGTCTGACTCCAGCCTGAGGAATCCCGAGAAAGAACACAGGACTTTCTGGTAAGCTGCTCCGATGGCTGTGAAGGGGGCGCTGCCTGGGGCTGGCTTGCACCCCCAGAGCTTCCATGGTAAAGATGCAGGCCTTCCCTGAACCATTAGCTACAGATAGTATAGGGCTGTCTTAAAATCTGTCATAGAAGGCCACCCGGAGGTAAGCAGACCACAGCAGAAAACTGGGTGGCAATGTACCCTGAGATGTTCAGGGAGGATGCCGTTTTAGGTGACTATTCAAGAAAGGTTCATTAGCCTTGATCAAGACAAGCGAAAACGAGATAAACCCAGGAACACTGGGGCAGGGTTGGGCTGCTGTTAAAATGGTGCCCAACGGTGCCCGCTGCCTGTATCCTCCCCTCTTCCTGACTGTGGGCCTGTCTATCTACTCAGTTCTAGGGACTGGAACACGGCAAAGGGGGAGGGGCGTCACCCTCTCGCTGGCTCTCGCCCGCTTCTGTGTACGAGCTGCCCCCAGAGAAGGCCCGTGGCTAGGAACCCAGGAAGGGCTCTGACCCACGGCTCATGGACAAGCGAGGCCTTTACGCCAGTAACCCACGAGGAAGCAAATCCTGCCAACAGCAACCGGAGTGAGCCTGGAAGCAAATCCACACCCTTAAGATGGTCCCGGGAGAGACCCAGAGGCAGAGGTCCAGGTAAGCCACACCTGGGTTCCTGGCCCACAGAAATCGTGAGATAACAAATATGTGACATGCATACCCTGCCTAGCATTTTATTTTTAAAAACAAATTATACTTTATATATATCTCTATATGTGCACATTTTACGTATATGGGATAAGGCACAGGCACTGCTTTATCATGGAGACCATTTTTCTTGGGGAGGCAGTTACCGAGGGAGCCGCTGAGTGGAGGTTCACCTCCGCAACCTCCCTCAGACTCACTTATCCCCAGGCAATCGGTATCGGTAACGAAGCGCTTCTCCCCGTTCATATACATAATCACGCAGAGGGAAATGTTTTACACACAGGCAGAAGTGCTTTGGGGGGGGGACGGGACTTATATTTTATATATACACACAAAATAAATCATATTTTATCAAATTCTGTGCACTATGAAGAGTCCTTAAAGTCCATTGGCATAGATCTAACTCATTAACTTTTAATGGATGCATAATAATCCAGTGATTTGATAACCTATAGTTTATTTCCCTGAGGCATGGATATTTACCTTACTTTTAGTGTTTTTGCCCCTTAAAAAGGCTATAGGAAACATATTTAGATTTTTATATACTGGAGAGCTTCTATTTCCACAAGATAGATTTCCCGGGGTGAGACTGTTGGATCATAGATCAGAGGTGTTTTTCATTTTAACAGATATTGCCAGGCTGCTTTCAAAAAGCCTATAATAATTTGCATTTCCACCAAGGTATGAAAACGACCTCTGTTCGGATCTTTGACAGCATTCGGCGTTACTGCTCTTCCAGATTTGCATTTCCCTGATTAATGATGAGATTAAACATCTTTTCATAGGTTTATTGGCCATTAGGATTCGCCCGTAAGGGAACTGCCTATTCATATCATTTTTGCATTTCTCTACAGGGTTCTCTCTTTTTACTTTTCGTTTGTAATATATTAACCTGGTGCCTGTAATTTCCATTGCGTGTCTCTCTCTCCATTACACAGCATGTCCACCAGAACATGCTCCTCTCGAGTTCCAGGACACGGAGTCCTAGCACTAAGCCCTCTCAGTTATGCTCCCAAACATCAGCTAACCAGTTCTTTCTCCCCCCACCGCCTTCCCCTCTGGTCTACTCTGCCATCACCTCATGCCCCAACTTCTACAAAAGCCTCCTGACTGGGTCCTTGGCACCCCCTCGCTGGCCTCCCGCCCCCCAACGACCAATTCTTCAGACCCTGAATACAGGGCAGATCCTACCCTTCTCATCAAAGCTCTCCAATGACTTTCCACAGTTTTACAAATCTTGAACTCATTCATGTAAGACCCTGAATGGTATGAATTTTGTCTCGCTCCTTGAACTCGCCACCTGCCTCTCTCCCCCCGCAGTCCCAGCTAGTTCTGTGCCAGCCAGCGGGGGAGGGAGACATGGCCGGCCGGCGGCAGCTCACACTGAGGACAGCAGCGCTGACCCAGGCCGCTGACAGAGGGACCTAGGCCCAGGCGAAGAGCGCCGACTCCAAGTGCTAGCGCGGCCGCACTTCAAATGCCTCAAAGTGTAACTCACAGCAGCGCTATAACCATCTGCTGAACGCAGCCTATTGTATGTGTCTCTTTTTAAGGATAAAGATGTGGTGATAGCTTTGTCTTTCTGCCCAAAGCAACAATTTGAAGATAAAAAAGAAAAGAACAAAACCAAAAAACTTGTGTTCCTGACAGGATTACTAAACAAATATTTAAAAATAGAAAGTCGAGGGTAGGAAGAAAACACCAACGTGTGCCACAGTTAAGAGAGCAGACAATGGCGATTATTCCGACGGGGGAACTAATGTTAACTTTCGCTGTTTCAATGTCGTTGTCAATACAGTAAGAAAAAAGCAAAGCGCAGCGCGCTGGCTGCAGCAGCCCGCCAGCAGGGCACAGGACTTGCGTCCTGGCACAATCAACAGCACCCAGCAAACGCATCCCCCTTTTGGATAATTTTCTCAGAGATTGCTTTATTCTGTTTGTCTCAAGGATGCAATACATCACATGAACATTTGAATAATTCTAGACATAAAACAAAATTAAACCATATTTAGTCTTAAACGAGGCCTACTTTTGACAGATAAAGCCGGTAGCTTAGCCAAACCACACCGGCTGCCTTGTCTGTGCAAAACTCACGCCGCCCCCGAAGTGGCCCCGTCCCCGCGTCCCCAGCGCTGCCCAGCTGCCGGCGGGCCAGGCCCAGGCAAACCCATGAGGTTTGTCCTCAGTCTCACCGTGTCATCGTTCAGC